GGAGTCAGGAGCTCCTCTGTGGGGTCGCTGTGCACACGTGCAGTGAAGAGAGGGGGTGGAGTCAGGAGCTCCTCTGTGGGGTCGCTCTGCACACGTGCAGTGAAGAGAGGGGGAGGAGTCAGAGCATAGATGAGACGCTCATCTGTTTTGGCCACTGTATCGTGGGTAGCTTGTGCTCAATACAACAGAGGTCCAGGAACCTTCTTCTCTCTCCTTCCTTCCTCATCATTCCTTTTACTTTTCTGACAACTTTTTTCCCAGCTGTTTTTATTTATCTGGATATTCTTTAAACATGCGCGGATCTGGATGTTTTACTGTTCTTTTTCAGGACCTCTGGACCCACAGTATTATCATTCATTCTTATTATTTTGTATTGCATGATGGGAAAAAAACTGTATTTTCCGTTTCAGACACGCTTCATTTTTTTTCTGTTTAACAAGACGACTCATTTATTGTAGCGGCACACTTAATGGACAAAAAAAGTCAAATAAAAAATGACCAGATCTGAAGCATGGAAAGACTTGTCTTAATAATGCTGTGGCGTTTGTATAGTTTCCTTTATCCCCGAGTCCTTTCCACATGTGGGGGGCTCACTTCTCCCCCCGCTGGGTGACATGGGCAGGCCAGGGTGAGACAGGCTGAGCCGGCGGTGTGGCCCAGGGTCAGCGGGTTCTGTAAGAAGGTGCAGCTCGTGTCTGCCTGAGTACAAGGGCTGTCACAAACTCATCACAACGCCAGGGAAGAAACAAACTGGTCTCTGTCCGGCAGGACCACAAAACATACCTTTAGAGAATGAAAGAGAGTATCTGACGAGACTGGAGGGAGCCTGAGTTGGGGGGGTGTGACTGGGAGATTATTGCTGGCAAGCCACTAGGTCACACTGAGAGAGTGTAGGAGTGTGTCGAGACCACACTGGCTGAGCTGGCTGAGCCCCTGTGCCACCCGACACCAGCGTGTGTCCAGCTCTTGACAGATTGAAGCCATCGTGAGCAGAGCCTAGAGCTACCTGCTGATCACTGTCTAGGAGAGACGAGTCCTGCAAAGTCTAATCAGGTCTCGTTTACCATGTTTCCTGCATTGCAGTACACTTCAAATCTGTCTAGCTATAGTAGATTCATGGGGGAAAATTGTCCCTGGTGCGTGTGTGTGTCCTGTGTCTGTGTGCCCTGCAAAGGACTTGCGTCCCGTCCAGGATGTATCCAGCCTTGCTCCCATTGCTTGCCAGGATAGACTCTGGCTCCCCTGGGTCAACGATAAGAAAATGGGTGGATTCACTCTGTAGTAGAACAGTTAAGTTGGTGGGATCTTGCAGGGCACTTGTGTCCGTTTGTCTGGGAATATCCACCCCCACACAGTGGAGTCTGCTTCCTGGGGCAGGGGGCAGCACTGAAAATTAAATGATTTTCTGTTCTGATGCCAGTCACACGTTGTACTGTCACCGTTCGTGTAGGAGGAGGCCTTGGG